TTTTATCTGGAATAGAAAATCATAGAAATTTATTCAATGAGTAAGAAGAAAAATTAATGGGATGCTAAAGGCTAAGAAGTCCAATGAAAAGATACGAGACTAATAAGAAACAATGCAAAGGGAATATTTACATATCTAAATTTGAAAAAAGAAATAAATAAAAAAGTTATATTTATAATTATAAAATGAAATATTATATTTTTTTTAAATTTTATTTTTTTAACTGGGCTACAGCCCACCTTAGTCTTCTACGCTCCTCCGCCCCTGCACACACCCATGCTCCACAGCAAATGATAAATTTTTTAAAATTAAGAGTATAGGTTATTTGGATATATTTTTTATATAATAAATTTATAAATATAAATTAAAAAATTAATCATGTCTCTAATATTCTTGTGGGATAATACACTATGTTTCCAAATATCTGTTAACTGTGTTATTGCTTAATTATTTTATTCAGTTTTCACCACTAATTTAAGGCCCCGTGCGTAACCTAGAGGGGCTCTCAACTTGCGAGTGGAAAAATAATAATTAATACAAGAAACGAAGAAAATATTGATATTATTGTGGGTTTCATTATCGTTGATGACATTACTAGAGCTAGAAAGTGGAAATGAATACGATAGCAACATACGTTGATTGACTCTGGTGGGAAGAAAATAAGAACACGAGATTTAAACATGAGGCTAGAAGAAGACCAGAATTCATGTGGAAAGAGTCTTAATTCCGTATATCAATTTGGTAATATAGATAGATTTCACCGAATAGGGTTTTTTCTTGGTGGAAGATGACCCTTTAATTCTCAATAAAATAGATAAATAAAATGCCACTTCAAATCATTTATTATTACCAACAAAATTGTCAAAAATCCCTTTAAATTAATGAGAATTTCACCTCCAGATTTCAAGGCATGGCATACAAAGTATATATCGAGCGATCTTTTTGGTTTTCTATTTTTTTTATTTCTAATTTTATTTAATCTTGCATGCAGTATGATTTATGGATATAATTTATGGTTAAAAGTTTGTGTAAAAATATGGTTACGGTTATTTTTTTAAATATTTTTTATATTAAAATAATATTTTTTTTATTTTTAAAATTAACGTATTAAAATGATCTAAAATATATAAAATAAAATTAATTCTTAATTAAAAAATTAAATTTTTTAAAAACATGATTTCTACTGTTCCCAAACATTTATTTAGAAAACTCTTAATTTTAATTTTATTTATTAAACAATACTGTACATTGAATTGCGAGAAGGATTGACTTCAGGGTTTGGAGTAAAGAAAGAGTTAAAACTTATTTTAGCGTGGTTGATTGGACCTTGCTGGAGAGCTCTGAACTGTGGGAAATGGAAATATGACTGGATCAAGTGGTTTGAAAAAATGAGCAGCCTGAAAATAATTGCTGTTTCTTTCTCCCTTTAATTTCAGGAGGGTCATACATAGAAGTGAAGTTCATATTTATGTTCTTTATCTTTGGTTGTGCCCTTTTGACTTACTTTCGTGCTTTTATTGTCAATATGCAACATATATATATATATATATATATATATATATATAAAGGGAAATGATGATACCTTTGTGCACACCCTTCATATATTTTTTTTCTTATAGGAATATATTTAAGAACATTTCTTAATGCAAGCGGAAGCTAATAAAATAGTTAAATTAAAGAAATATAAAAACTAATAAGTGAAAATGGTCGCAATATAAATCTTAAATTCATAATTATATTCTATGAAAATTAAATATATTATAATTGTTTCCTTAAGATATTTACTATATCTTTAAATAGATAAGAAAATCTCATCTCTAATAGGTATGAAATAATTGGAATTCTAAAAGCATTAAAAAAAAACATAAATTTGATTTCAAATATAAAATCCAAAAAATATTAGAAAAAATAACAAAATTATTTCAAATAATAACAAAATTAGAAATAAATTATAAAACTCAATTCTCAATTAACATAATATTAAATGATGAAATTAAAAAAAAAATTAAAAAAACAAATTGAATCAACTTGGGATAACATGCTAAACCCGTATTTCGAGTCATATAATTAAGATAACTTTATAGAAAGCAAATCGAAACAAATTATAAAACTCAATTCTTAATCAACTTAATATTAAAGGGTAAAATTTAAAAAAAATAAAAAAAACAAAAAAAATATCTAAGTGAACCTACAAAACTAATAACCTAAATAATGAGATTAATATAATCTCATAAAAGTAAACTGAAAAAAATTATGAAACCTAAAACCAAATTAACTAAAGAATAAAATTTGTAAAAACATTCAACTAAAAAAATAAATTAATTTGTTAAATCTATATTATGAGTCATATGAAACTGAAATAGATAAATTTAATATTAAAAACTAAAATTAAAAAAATACTAAACCTTTTTTTTTAAAAAAAACTTCTATTCAAATGATTGTGAGAATAGAAATAGTAAATTTCTCTTCTTAATTAGTTTATGTTAATCTCAAGTTAAAATGACTTTGATAGCAACAGTAGCTAATTAATAATAAGAGATCTAGATGTTTCATCCATCAATTTGGTAAGAGAGCTTTTACCGACCACAATTATATTGATTAGTAATTTTATATTTCCCTTTAATTTATGATGGCGCAAATTCATCTGTGCATGTAATCAATTAAAACATCTACAGTTTGTTTTTATATTTTAAAAAAGTTTTTAAAAAAATTTATTTATTTATTTATTTTAAATTAATATATTTTTAATATTTTCAAATTATGTTAATAAACTGATATTAAAAATATTTTTTTAAAAATAAAAAATTATTAATATATATTTTAACATAAAAGCTTATTTAAAAATAATTATAATTACATTGTCAAATAAATTGAAACGTTGTTAATAAATTATTCTACAGTATTAGAATTCTTAATTATTTTTTTAAATAATAAATTATAATTTTTGTGAATATACTATAAAAATAATGATGTATTTATACTTTATTTCATATAATAAAATTGATTTTTTTTAATTAATTAATTGCTATTGACAATCTGGACGATCGAAAGGAATACTGTTGTTCTGTATTTGTTATCTAAAAAACACGTGCGAAATTAATTAACAGTACCATACTTTTAATGGTTTGGAGTAAGGTTGTTAAAATCATGATTCAATTAGTAAAATCATATGATTTTACGATTTAATATAGGTTAAACGTGCTAAATCGTTCATAAAACTTGAAAATAAGTAAAATCAAGTTAAAATCAGATAAAATCGTTAAAATTGGGTGAAATCGAGCAAAAACGCGATTTTACACCTGATTTTACGTATCTGTATACACAGTCACACCGTGTGACTCACTAAGGGCAAAGAGTGAATCGAGGGTTCCAACACGAAGACTAGGGATATTAAACTGCGAAACGGAAAGGAAATAATAGAAAATTAAGGTTAAAGTAAACAGATCAGATGAAGAAGAAAGAGAAAGAAAGAAACCCTGTAGAGAGGTGCATCAAAAGAGTGCTTTGAGATTTGTTCTTGCAAACGGTTCCACACAGAAGAAGCTGAGTTTTCAACCGGAAGAGAAACTACCCAGTATCTACTCGTCATTTCCTTTTTGTTTTTTACTCAGATGTTTTCGATTTTGATTAGAGAGAGAAAGAAGGGCTTTGTTCGTAGGAAGAGAGAGATCAGACTTGCATCGATTTTCTTCTTCTTCTTCTATTTCAAT